GTATCCAGTCCAGAGCGGATCAAAGCGACTTTGTCTGCGAAGAACCGAGCAAAAGCTTCGCAGCGAGCTGCCGAGTCATCAGGGCACCCATCCTGAGTGGCGGGTTTTAATAGGCCTCTGACAACTCGGAACAGTTCAGCCGGACGGTTCTTTGCAGACGCAATAGTGGCCGCAAAGAAAGTTTTCTTTGCGGCTTTTATTGCCGCGGCATATGCCCTTAAAAAGGACACAAACCGTGTTCGATTTGGCTCGCTCGGATCCGAACGCCACACGCTCTCTAGTTCCCTCTTCTTTCGCTTCAACGCTGCCAGCTCCTCAGTGAACCAAGGAGCTGGTTTAGCTCAGCTACTTGAGAGGGGACGTTCTGGAGCGATCGTGTCTATTGCCCTAGTCATCTCCCCATTCCAGAGAGCGACCAGAGCATCAACAGGATCACCAACCGGTGGCGGGAAATTCCCCAAGAGCCATCAGGAATCCATCCGGATCCATAAGCCTCCTGGGGCAGACCAATTTAATGGGTCCTCCACCTCTGCGGAGGTTAGGGGGTGCAGTGAGTCTAAAGCTGACCAGGTGGTGGTCGGTCCATGGCAACGGAGAGATGGATAACTCCTCAACACCGCCACCTTCCTCCCATCCCTGACAGAAAACCAAGTCCAATGTATGTCCAGCACTGTGGGTGGGGCCAGATACCTGTTGGGACAGCCCCATGGTTGCCATGGTAGACATGAAGTCCTGAGCCGCTCCCGATGAGGCGGTCTCGGCGTGGACATTGAAGTCCCCCAGCACAAGCAGCCGTTGGGACTCCAACGCCAGGTCCGAGACCACCCCCGCTAGCTCAGTCAGGGAGTCTGTAGTGCAGCGAGGTGGACGGTACACTAACAGAATCCCTAATCTGTCCCGGTCACCCACCCTCAGGTGGACGCATTCAAAATTTGTTGACTGCGGGATGGGGGCCCTGGTCAGAAGAATGGAATCTCTATAGACCACTGCAACTCCGCCTCCCCGCCCTCCGGATCTCGGTTGGTGCTGCACAGAGAAACCTGGTGGGCAAAGCTGTGTTAAATTTACACCTCCCGCTTCGTCCAACCAGGTCTCTGTGATGCACGCCAGATCTGCCCGTTCATCCAGGATTAAATCCTGGATGAAGGTTGTTTTGCCGTTGACAGATCTGGCGTTCAACAGCACCACTTTCAATTCGGAGGGACCGCCATCCTGGTTACACCGACTTACCATATCAGGAGACCGATTTGGAATTACTAATGTTGTTCCCCGTTCCCTAGGTCGAATTAAAGGCCTCCCTTTCCCGTATCTCCCCCTCCCCACCACGACTTCTATGGGGGCTCCCCGGTTAACGGAACCCCTTCCCTCCTCCATGACGCCTTGAGCAGCCACAGTATCAACAAACAATGCATTATTGACTATTTGATATGTTGTGGCTTCAGATTGCCATAGTCCTGTCTTCCGTCCATTTCCCAATCCCACTTTGTAATACTCAGGTCTCGCTGATCTACTCCATTCCCTCTCACCACCATAAACAATCAGCAACAAAGTTAACAAATACCAGGGAATGGGTAATGACATGGGTGGTAGCTGTTAAGCACTATCGGAAGAGTATTCCTAGGGTTCTTAAAGTGCAAATGTATCATACAAGATGGTATGAGTAACTAAAGTGCAATGGCTTTCTCAACAGCTCTAAAGTGCTTAAATAAAGTGCGTCATGGAGGACTTAAAGTTCAAACGCTAGATGGTTCGTTGGAACAATTAAAGTGCTGAGGCTCGATAAGTTATTGGCCCAATTACCATAGAGGTAGTAAATTAAAGTGCTGGTCGAGTAAAGTGCTAGAATCACATAGAACACTTATACACTTTACTTGTTAGCAGTCCAACTATTAGTTCTTAAAGTATCCGTTCAGTCACTAATATAGATGTTGTTATTAGCACAATGAGGGTGGCCAGCATAGTCAGCGGAGTTAACAAAGTCAGAAGAGGTCGACACAACAAGGGTAGTCAACACAATCAGAAAGATGGTTCACACAATTAAAGGAGGTCAACACAGATGAATTAAGTAATGGACAACACAGTCTATCTAAAATTCTATCTAAAATTGGAAACAGCGAGATGCCACAATTATTCGGGCCCAAAGATGGTCAACGCAATCTTTCCGGAATTGATGGTTAGCAGATGAGGTGATGGCAATCTCATGCGATGGCGGCAGGTTAACCACTACTCTGAGATGATAAACAGCAGAGGGCGGGGGCGGAGGCAAGGTGGTCGTAGCCAGCGGCTAAGTCTACTATCTATTGTCCAACGGGGGTCAAACACTTCCAGGGCCAGCTAAAGAGCATATGCTCAAGCGTTGGAGGGGCTCGAGTGTTGGAAAGGCTGGCTAGGCCCTGGGCAAGCGGCGAGAGATGATAGACACCGACCCCACTCTAGGCTCCAATGCCACCCGGACGCCGAGTAGGAAATGTCGGAGTGTCGGAGTGCCGCTGATGTCCGAGTGGTAGCGTTGCCCACCAACCGATGGCTCCGCCGACGATGAAAATTGGGGACTAAACTGATAGGTGACCCTGCTCCCGGCGCGTAACACTTAAACAGTGAAGTGTTTAACATCCATTGTGAGACACCCATCTGCTTGGATAAGTAGAAGTATCAGTCAGTCCTCCTCTTTGCAGATTCAGCAATTTATTGGAACTCTGGCTGGCTGTTGCTATGAAGGGACAAATCTCTCCCCTCTTTCTGATGCTGAGCAGAATTCTGGGAAATTAGTTTAGGGCAGGGCCTTTTGAATTCTCTGGCATAGAGCTCCTCACCTTCCCAAACTACATTTCCCAGAATTCTGTGCTTTCTCAGTCTCTTTCCCAGTGAACTCTGCTTTCTCCCTGCTGCTTCCCTCTCTTAATGGTGAGAGGCCATTAATGTAATTCCCCTGTTTTGAGACTGTTGTTCTTTATTTACTATCGTTTCTTTTTATTTACTGTATCAGAAGCGAATCAAGAGTACGGTTGTAATGTATTTAAATACACAAACAAAGTTTTTAAAACTTGGCAAAAACACTTTCTGTCCTGATTTTAGAGTTGTTGTTTTTTTTACTACTAGGAGCCAGATTGTGTTTATTTTCACGGTTTCTTCCTTCCTGTTGAAATTGTCCACATGGCCAATAATGTGATGCTGCCGCTAAAAAAGTCAATGGGATTTGGGCCTGCAAAAACAGGAGTGTTGTTGTGGACAACCTGAGTGGTTGTGACTGTGGTCAAGGCCATTCTGAAGAAAGTGGCCTGCCCCTGCTTCCACTTCCATCCACTTGATCCACTTCTAATCCCATTAATTACGCATCATTCTTTGTTGAGTTTCAGTTTGTGTCGATAACTCTGGAAATTACAAATTACGCTTTCCTCCCTCATTGGGGAGGGAATAGTCCTCAAGCCTCAATCACTGGCCGATCCTTACAAGTTGGTCCTTTCGTTGATTCCTTGACAGCAGGGGTCCTCACACTTTGTAAACAGAGGGCCAGGCCACAGCCCCTCAAACTCTTGGAGGGCCGGATTATAATTCGGGGAGAAAAAACATGAATTCCTATGCACACTGCACATATCTTATTTGTAGTGCATATATATACACACACACACATATACACACACACAATACAATAATTAAAAAAATGGGAAGTGTGGGCCTGCTTTTGGGTGATGAGATAGGGTTGTTGTTGTTGTTGTGTGCTTTCCGATCTTTTCAGACTTAGGTTGACCCTGAGCGAGGGCCGGGTAAATGACCTTGGGGGGCCGCATCCGGGCCCCGGGCCTTAGTTTGAGGACCCCTGCTTCACAGTCTCTCCTGTCGTTTTCCTTTCAAGTTCATCAAAAACTGTTCTCTTCTCTAAATCCCACTTCCCAGGACTTTCCCCCTTTCAGGCTGTTTTGCATATGCTTATTTGGGCATTGTTGAGGTGGCTTCTATGGGAGGATCGCTCAGAGCAGATGCCCTTTCTTCCCAGGTTGGGATTTATTGCGTTGGTCACTGCAAAGACATTCCTAGGAAGGACCCTGGGTGGAAAGCCTGTGTTTCTCGAGCTCTCCTTCCGCTGCTGGAAACCTTCCCTTGGACAGAGGACGAGGAAGAAAAGGGGGAAGAGGGCAGGGACGTGGTCAGGAAGAAGGCCTTGTGGGTGGAGCTGTGCTTGTCTGTGCATGCCATCCTGGGGCTGAGCCAAGGGATGAGTGGCCCAAAGGGGACTTCCTCCAGCAGAGACTCATTCTGTGAACGTCTCCACCAAGCCTCAATGTGGTTTTGGATTAGGTGGTGGAGAGGCAGGGTCTTGGTCAGCTGCAGGATTCCTTTGGGAAAAGACAGACAATTTGGTGGCAGCAGGCATCTCATTTGGTGTATTGTCAAAGGCTTTCAGGGCTGGAATAACGGTGGTTGTAGGTTTTTTGGGTTGTATGACCATGTTTTAGAAGGATACCTGCATCTCCGGCAGGTATCCTCAGAGGTTGTGAAGTTTGTTGGAAACTGGAAAAGTGGGTTTATATATCTGTGGAAGGTCCAGGGTGGGAGAAAGAACTCTTGTCTGTTTGAGCCAAGTGGGAATGTTTCAGTTGACCACCTTGATTTATCAAACCTCACAACCTCTGAGGAAGCCTGCCACAGATGCAGGCGAAACATCAGGAGAAAATGCTTCTAGAACATGGCCATACAACCCGAAAAACCTACAACACCCCATCTAATTTGGGATGCTCAGAAAGCAGACCTGGGACTCCTGATGGGAAGGGAGGCAGCACAGCCATCTTGGTGTTCCTTCTGAGCATTGAGCCCATTCCTGGTCATTCAGGGACACACATGATCCAGCGAATGGAGCCCTTGAGTCTTGCCAAGGACCGCTCCTTTCTCCCGGCCTTCCTGCCTCCCATTCCTTTTCCACATTTCTCTTCATCCCAATAAAATCAATATGATGCTCCAGAATTAGGATTTCCCCATTTTTCCTTCTCTCCCTCCATCCCTCTCTCCTTCTGAATCCATTCCCTCCTTTTCAAAGAACCATTGATTCCCACGGCTGGTCTCTGGATATGTGCTTGAGGCCCCAGTGTCGGCCTTTCTTGGTATTTCCATTCTCAACGTGACCCATGAAGGGGAAGGGGGAAATCTTGGAGGTAGAGAAGGTCTCTGGCTTCCATCCTTGATCTTTCTCTTCTTTCTTCACCAGGGAAGTGAGGACTCTTTGGAGCAACCTCTTGGATGCAGTAAGGAAACCAATAATACAGGGAGAAGAAATCCTCTCGAGGCGATGATCTTGCTGAATTCTTGACTTCACTTACAGATAACAAAGGAATAAAGAAGAGTCAAGTCTCTGTATTGGAATTAAACACCCGTATCATTCTTGACATGGAGGAGAAAGCGTCTAAGTGCCTGGAGTGTGGAAAGAGCTTCACTCGGAGGCAGAGTCTGCAGCAACATGTAAAGACTCACACTGGGGAGAAACCCTATTCCTGCCTGGAGTGTGGACAGAGCTTTGCTCGGAGGGATAATCTGCAGCAACATGTAAAGACTCACACTGGGGAGAAACCCTATTCCTGCCTGGAGTGTGGACAGAGCTTTGCTCGGGATTATCTGCAGCAACATGTAAAGACTCACACTGGGGAGAAACCCTATAAATGCCTGGAGTGTGGACAGAGCTTCGCTCATAGTTCAACTCTACGTAAACATCAAAGGATTCACACTGGGGAGAAACCTTATAAATGCCAGGAATGTGGACAGAGCTTCACTCAGAGTTCAAACCTACGTGTACATGAAAGGACACACACTGGGGAGAAACCCTATACATGCCTGGAATGTGGACAGAGCTTTGCTCATAGTTCACATCTACGTAAACATGAAAGGAAACACACTGGGGAGAAACCCTATAAATGCCTGGAATGTGGACAGAGTTTCACTGTGAGTGACCATCTACGTACACATCAAAGGATTCACACTGGGGAGAAACCCTATTCCTGCCTGGAATGTGGTCAGAGCTTCACTCAGAGTTCAAATCTACGTAAACATCAAAGGACTCACACTGGGGAGAAACCTTATAAATGCCTGGAATGTGGACAGAGCTTTGGTCGTAGTTCACGTCTACGTTCTCATCAAACTACTCACACTGGAGAAAAACCCTATACATGCCTGGAGTGTGGAAAGAGCTTCACTCGGAGGCAGAGTCTGCAGCAACATGTAAAGACTCACACTGGGGAGAAACCCTATTCCTGCCTGGAGTGTGGACAGAGCTTCACTCATAGTTCATATCTACGTAAACATCAAAGGATTCACACTGGGGAGAAACCTTATAAATGCCAGGAATGTGGACAGAGCTTCACTCAGAGTTCAAACCTACGTGTACATGAAAGGACACACACTGGGGAGAAACCCTATAAATGCCTGGAATGTGGACAGAGTTTCACTGTGAGTGACCATCTACGTACACATCAAAGGATTCACACTGGGGAGAAACCCTATTCCTGCCTGGAATGTGGACAGAGCTTCACTCAGAGTTCAAATCTACGTAAACATCAAAGGAGTCACACTGGGGAGAAACCTTATAAATGCCTGGAATGTGGACAGAGCTTTGCTCGTAGTTCACGTCTACGTTCTCATCAAACTACTCACACTGGGGAGAAACCCTATACATGCATGGAGTGTGGAAAGACCTTTGCTTGTAGTTCAGGTCTACGTTCCCATCTAAGGACTCACATGGGGGAGAAACCATGTATAGACATAGCATAAAATCATAGATGATATTATGTGGTAAATTTGTGTATTTTATAGTGTATTGTATGTTGTAATTGTTAGGCATCGAATTGTGCCTTGTGTAAGCCGCCCTGAGTCCCCCCTCGGGGGTTGAGACGGGCGAGGTAGAAGCACCCCTAATAAATAAATAAATAAATAAATAAATAAATAAATAAATAAGACTCGCACTGGGGAGAAGCAGTATCCGTGCCTGGGATGTGGACAGAGCGTTCCTGAGATTTGACGTGTACATAGACATAGAATTCCCATTGGAGGGAATTGTGGTCATTGATCCCAGAGAGACTCTAAGGCAGAGCTCTCCAAACTTTTCACGTTGGTGTCACATTTTAGACACGCACCGTTTCGTCACACTATAATTCAGTTTAAGTAGCAAACAGTGTCCCCCCCTCTTCACCCCTTCTTTTCTCCCTTTGACTTCTTTCCCCGCCACTCACCATTTCCTACTTTGCTATACACCCGATTGTTCCCCCTCTTTTATTGCATGTTAAAAAATCCTAATGAAAAAGGAAGAGGGGAGGGGAAAGGGGGAGAAGGGGAGGTAAGGGGGGGAAAGGGAATAGGAAGGGGGCACGGAAAAGGGTGAGGAGGAGGAAGGAAGGAAGGCAAGACACAGACCCACACAAAGAAGAGAATAGGAAGGGGGCGGGGGAAAGGGTGAGGGCCCTTCCACACAGCCCTGTATCCCACAATATTAAGGCAGGAAACCCCACAAGATCTGCTTTGAATATCTGAGTCCACACTCGGATAATGTGGGATTTCCTGCCTTGATATTCTGGGCTATAGCGCTGTGTGGACAGGCCCTGAGGGGAATAGGTATAGACACACACAAAGAAGGGAATAGGAAGAGGGCAGGGAAAGGGGGAAGGAAGGAAGGAAGGAAGGAAGGAAGGAAGGAAGGGAAGGAAGGAAGGAAGGAAGGAAGGAAGGGGAATATCTATATATAGAGATATGTATAGATATATATACACACAAAGAGAATAGGAAGAGGGCACGGAAAAGGGTGAGAAGGAAGGAAGGTGTGTGTGTGTGTGTAAATGCTCTGTTGTTTTGAGTGACATAACTCAAAATCCACTGGACGAATTGCCACCAAATTTGGCCACAAGACACCTACTAACCCAAGGAGTGACCATCACTAAAAGAAATTGAATTTGTCATTTGGGAATTGTAGTTGCTGGGATTTATAGTTAACTACAATCAAAGAGCATTCTGAACTCCACCAATGATGGAATTGACCCAAATTTGGCACACAGGACTCCCATGACGAACAGAGAATACCGGAAGGGTTTGGTGGGCATTGACCTTGAGTTTGGGAGTTGTAGTTCACCTACACCCAGAGAGCACTTTGGGCTCAAACAATGAAGGGTTTAGACCAAACTTGGCACAAATACCCAATATGTCCAAATATGAACACAGGTGGAGTTTGGGAAAATAGACCCTGACATTTGAGAGTTGTAGTTAGTGGGATTTATAGTTCACTTACAATCAAAGAACATTCTGAACCCCACAAAGGATAGAATTGGGCCAAACTTCCCAAATGGAATCCCCCATGACCAACAGGAAACACTGTTTTCTGGTGGTCTTTGGCAACCCTTGTGACACCCCTTCATGATCCCCCCACCCAGGGGTCCCGACCCCCAGGGTGAGAAATGCTGCCTTGTGGCCACCCAGACCCCCTCCCTTCACTGGGCAAGAAGACACCATCGAAGCCCTCCTAACAAAGAGCCATCCAGCCATAGAGAGAGAGAGAGATCTATAGTATTCACACACACACACACGGAAGATACAATATCATTGTAGATGTGAAAGGGACCCCGAAAGAAGGACAAAGACGTGTTTTATGTTCCGGAGTAGGCAAGCTGGACACTCCACATCCACACTGACAAAGACACAGGAAGAAATCCTGTTTGCCCACAAGAAGAAAGACAGGACGGAGATTAGAAACCCACTTTCTCATGACTTTCTTTTCCAGATCACCAGGATGGGCCACAGCAACACCTGGCAGGGCACGGCTAGTATGTATGTATGTGTGTATATATATATATGGCATGGTCCAACTTGGGCCGTCCATGTGTTTTGGACTTCCACTCACTCCATTCCAAACAGCCAGTAGGAAGTCCAAAATACCTGGAGGGCCAACATTTGTCCGTGTGTGTATGTATGTATATGTGTGTGTGTGTGTATCTCTATATATCAGTGATTGGTTTGGGGGGGGGGCATGCCCAAATACTGTTTGCTTGCCCAGGTCCACTTCTGTGAGCCATCATCCAGTCCAACCCCATTCTGTCAAGAAGCAGGAATATTGCATTCGAAACACCCCTGACAGATGGCCATTTCCTTTTTCTCCTTGTAGCATCCACTCTGTGAGCCGCGTCATTTTACTGTCATGAGTGGTAAGCTTACATGATGTTTCTCTTTTCCTGAATGAAAGGCATGTTTACGAAAAGGGGATTTCGAAGGCCGTGAACCTCCTGCCTTCGGGAAAGGCCGATGCAGCCCGGGTGGAAGGCGTCCTCCTCGAAGGTCCTTCCATTGGGGACTCCTTTCCTTGATAGGATTCCACTGTCTAAAGAAATGGGGCATTACCATCAGACGGTTAGTTGTGGACCCCCATATACGCCCCCTCTTTGACACCGGGGTACCTTCTCACCTTGTTCCATCAGGCCCCCGTGAGAATTCCACAGTCAGCTCCCCGGTTAGGGCTTCCCCTCCTGGTTTGTATCAATTCGAGACCCCATCTGCCCCAGTTGTCCCCACATATTCTGCCACTCTTTCCCGCCCAAGAACACTTGCCTTGTTTAGCCCACTCAGTTCCCTCGCTGACTCTCTGTCCACCCCAACGTCGGTAGCATCCCTACCCAAGGGAGACTATACTCCAGCCTTACCTCTTCTGAGAGCTGACTAGCCACAGATCCCAACCATGTAGGGGGGGAGGGGGGCCCGGAGGAGGGGGGCGCCATTCAGGTCGTGTGGGGGAGGAGATCTGCGGGTCACCAACATCCCAGGGAGAAGCGCAACAGAGTTCTTGCGACCCTGGAGAAGGTAGGAAGTGGTAGGCTCCATGACAGTCCCCTCGGTCTTAAGGTCCTGCTGATTAATGCTAGATCCATTAATGATAAGACAGCTGCCATTCAGGACTTGATTCTGGATGAGAGAGCAGATCTGGCTTGCATCACTGAGACCTGGCTGGATGAGCTGGGGGGAGTAAATCTCAGTTGTGTCCACCGGGTTTCGGAGTGCACCAGCAGGCCAGACAGGGGGGGCGGGGAGGAGGGGTCGCAGTAGTCTTTCGGCAATCCATCGCCGTGACCAGATGCGCTGTACCGCAAGCACCTGGGTTCGAGTGTGTTCACCTGAAGGTGGGGTGCCGTGACAGTGTGGGGTTTCTGCTGGTGTACCGCCCACCCAGCAGTCTCCCTGTCTGAGCTAGCAGAAGTGGTCTCTAATTCAGCTCTGGTCTCCCAGCGCTTGGTGGTGCTGGGAGATTTCAACATTCATGCTGAGACCTCCTTGTCCGGCGCAGCTCAGGACTTTATGGCCGCCATGACGACCATAGGACTGTCACAAATTATATCTGGACCCACCCATCAGGCTGGACACACACTCGACCTAGTTTTTGTGGCGGACAGTGGAAT